AAACTTTTCTTACAAGAATAGGCGGCTGAATAGATTTGGTCATGGGTCATATTTTGTTGATTCTTGATGTAGAGAATGCTATGGCTTCACAGCGGAATTCTCCAAATATTTAAGGAAAAGTTAATCCCCATCCTGCTCAAATTTTTCCAGAAAACTGAAGAATACTGAGTACTCCCAAACTTTTTCAATAAGGCCAGCAATATTTTGATACACAAACCAGACAATGATACTACAAAAAAAGAAAAATACAGGTCAATATTCCCAAAACTCAGAGATGCAAAAGTCCTCAGCAAATATTGGGAAACTGAATTCAACAATACATACACATTATGGGTAAGTAGGATTTTTCCAGGTGTGCATGGTAGGTTCAAATCCACAAATCAATCACTGTGATACACATTAACAGAATGAAGGATAAAGTTACATGATTATCTCAATGGATGGAGAAAATTCATTTGGTAAAATTCAGCATCTATTTATGTTAAAATTCTCAATAAACTTGGTATAGAGGGAACATACCTTAAATAATAAAGGCCATTTATGACCAAGCCACAGCTAATCTTATACTCAATGATTCAAAGCTGAAACTTTTTCTCTAAGATCAGAAACAAAACAAGGATGCCCACTCTCTTCACTTCTACTTAACCTAGTATTTAATATTTTAGCCACAGCAATCACACAGAACAAAGAGATAAAAAACATCCAAATTGGAGAGAAAGAAATAAAGCTGCCACTGTTTGCAGATGGCCTGATGTTCAATGTAGAAAATTATGATGACACCAACAAAACACTTTTAGGACTAATAAATAAATTCAATAAAGTTGCAGGGTACACAATGAATATACAGAAAAATTTTCATTTGTACACACTAATAATAACTATCAGAATGATAACTGAAGAAAACAACACAATCCTCAACTAAATGAAAAAGAGTAAATTCCAGGAATAAATTTAACCAAGAAGGTGAAAGATCTTTACCCTGAAAAAAATAAGACATTGATAAGGAAATTGAAGACAATAGAAATAAGTAGAAAAGCATTCCATGTTTATGAGTAGGAAGGATTACTCTTGTCAAGATGTCCACCCTAACAAAAGAAATTCACAGATTCAACAAATCCTTATCAAAATACTCATGACATTTTTCATTGAATAGAACAAATATTACTAAAATTTGTATGGAAGCCCAAAGACCACAAATAGCCAAAGCAATTTGGAGATAAAAGAGCAATGTGGAAATTCCCTGACATTAAAATATACTACAAAGGAATCATCTAAGCTCTCTGGTACTGGCACAAACACAGACATATTATTCAATGAAACAGACTGGAGAGCCCAGAATTAAATCCACGCACATACGATCAATCGACCTATGAGAAAGGAAACAAAAATAAGTAACAGGGAAAAGTGCACTCTTCAATAAGTGGTGTTGGGCAAACTGGACAGCTAATAGTTAAAGAATGAAAGTAGAACATTTTCTTACAACACGTATGAAGACAAACTCAAAATGGATCAAAGACTTAAGTGTAAGACCTGAAATTATAAAACTCCTAAAACAAAATATAGACAGCATGCTCTAAGACATTCATCACTGCAATATATTTTACATCTGTTTCCTCAGGCAGGGACAAAAAGGACCCAGAATAAGAAAATGGGACCTAATCAAACTAAAATTTTTTGCATAGCGAAGGAAACCATCAACACCAGGAAGAGGTCACGTACTGAATGAAAGAAGAAATCTGCAAGTGATTTGTCAATAAGGGGTTAATGTCCAAAGTATATAAAGAACTTATACTCTCAATATCAAAAACACAAATAATCTGATTTAAAAAGTGAGAGACTACCTAAATACACATTTTTTTAACAAAGAAGACACATGGATGGCCAACAGATGTATGCAAAAAATACTAAACATCTTTAAACATCA